CCAACATCGAGGGATGCGTGAGAATGGTTATGAGAAGATGCCCCCTGTTGAAGAGACACTGGCCTGCTATCTCTCTATGGGGGAGACATCTTCTCTTAAGGCTCCCTCCCTGCTGTCCAAACCCCTTCAGGATACATCTCATTTGAATGGCAGGGCATACGCGGCAGCAGGTCAGGCTGCAGTCTCGTTGCATACCATGGCAGTGCTTCAGGCTTATCAGGCTGATCTGCTGAAAGACCTGGATAAGGGTCAGGGTCTATCCCCTGATGAGATGTCTGACTTGCGTCGCACCACAGATCTTGCTCTCCGTGCCACTAAGCAGGTGCCATTGGCAGATCCATGGCAGCCATGGAGGTTACGGAGAGACATCTGTGGGTGAATCTGGCGGATATTGGATCAAAAGAGAAAGGCTTTCTTCTTGATGTGCCAGTTTCCCCTTCTGAGCTTTTCAGCACTTCCGTCGAGATGGTGGTCGAAAAGTTTAAGGAGGCCAAGATGCGCTTGGCTGCCTTTAAATCCTTCATTCCACAAAGGTCCAGGTCTGAGCCTGAACACAAAGGGGTCCTGGCCCATCTCGATCTAAGGATCAGAGGTGGGCTTAGAAGACTAGTGTCGCAACTCACGCTCCTCCCCCGCCTGCGGGTAGGGCTCAAAAGGGGCGTGGGTCAAAGGGTGACGAGCAAGATTTGAGGGAGGTGATCCAGACTAGGTTTTCTCAATGCTCTCGTCTGGACCAGAGTAAAACCTGAGCCATCTACTCTCATCTTCTTCTCCCTAATTCCCCTAAAATGCTTCCCTCCTAACTGAGGTTAGGTAGGAGCCTCCTGCGCTTGCATTGCAGTCTCTTTTGCTGGGCCTATGATGTTTTGGCTAGTTCTATGTCTCATAGAACTATCTACTGATGGTCCGGACCCCAGTTCTCTTCAGATTTCGCCTCCAGCCTATATTCATGAGCCTGAGTCAAGTGCGGGAGCCATGGTTGGTGAGTACGATACATTTCATCTACTCTACTGCTAGTTTTTGTGTATTCAACACTAGCCTTTCTCTGCAGCGCTACTCAGACCTGTTCTGTTTTCAGATTTTTTAGGTCTGACCCCACCCCCCACACGCAGCCTGGGCTTCTGCGGAAGCCTCCCAGCATCAGGTCCCCAGTATAACACTGCAACCTCAGGACCTGCGGGTCCTTCTCGCGGGCTAGTACTCTTCTAAGTACATGCTTCGTGACATGCTCCCTATCCTAAACTGGCCAGGGTGCGCTACTCATCTCTCACCCTGAGGGGTCTCCTGAGATTTAAGTCTTTCCTTAACCATCATGCACGTTCTCTGAGCTAGAGCTCCTCTCGCTGAGGCGTTAAGGGGCTCAACAGGCCTGTTGGCCTAGACGGTCAGGCCTGCGGGTCATCCCTTTCACACTGCCTTTAGGGTCGAACCATTAATCGCCCCTCTGCGGAGTGGGCTTAAGTACTCTGCGTTCCCTGAGGTACAAGAGATTTGTGTTTCTGTGGGAAAACCCTCTTGTGTGCTTCTTCTCTGAGGAGCAGTAAGCTCTGTAAGCATGAATGGTTGTTTGGTCCCGCTATTTCTTCGGGTCTGGTTATATGTGACCCGCGCTCTCTATCAAGATAGAGAGCATGAGACGGTGTCCAGCCGCACCAGTGGACTGTCTCTTATTGGGCCCTGCTGGGTTACCCCTTCTAATCTAGCGCCTCCTTCTGGTCGAGCGGAGAAGTGCTCCCCTCACTGTGAGGGTTAGCTATGAGCCGCTCCCAGTATGTGCTGTAAGGGCCTGCCTCAGCTTGAGAGCCGAGAGTGCTGCTCCCGAAAACTCCATTTGCAACGAAACTGAGTGTTAGGCTTCTTTGGTCAGTTGCGTCTCTCTTGGGACCCTGTCGTTCCCTGTAGAAATGTGTGATCCCCTTCTAGCAGGATCCTGTTCTGATTTCTGATGTCCCATTTGCGATCTATCTGCTCCCCGAACATGGCTGAGCTCCCCTCTCTGCGGGAGGGTCCCTTTTAGCTCACCGGTCCTGGGCAGACTGTGTGAGTCCTCCTCTTGACTTGAGAGTTAGGTGCTCGGACCCTGGGCTATTGATCGCTTTGGTCGAGCTGGGTTCCTCTCTCTCCTTGCTAGGGATTGAACCCTTCGCTCTTGAGCTCCGTGGCAGTGACATCAGGTAGTTAGGCCACTTGCTGCCTCCCTGATAAACTGCCTCTATTTGGGTTACACCAGGCAGTGCTCCCCTCACCTCAGAGGGTTGTCTTTGAGCCTGCCGCTCCCGATTGAGCGTCTGTGGACTTCTCTCATCGAGTCCTGCGCTCGTTTGAGCTCCATTGAGTAGCAGTCAGGTTGTGAAGCCTCTCTCCGCCTCCCTGTTAAGCCGCTCTCCTTGTGGGTCGAGCTTAGCAGTGCCCTTGGGGGTTTCATATGAGCACACCCCTCTCGATCTGAGCGTCCGAGCCCCCTTTTGAAGTTGGGCCTCCGCTCTTTTGAGATCCAGATTGCTGTCATGCCAGGTGGCTGGGCCATCTCTTGCCTCACTGGCGGGTTGCTTGTTAAGTGATCTAGCTGTGCTCCCCTCACCATGAAGGGCCTCTTGCAACCGCGCTGCTCCCTTCTGGGCATCTGTGAGCAGATGCTTTGGAGTTTGTTCTGTGAGCATGCCACAGTCACGTAGGGCTCCTAGGCTGGTTTAATACAGCTTTGGTTACCCCTTAAGCAACAGTGTTTCTAAATCCATGCTATGGTAAGTGCACACGCTGAGCTTCTGTGCACTTTCTAAAATCCACATTGTGGTAAGTGTGCACGCTAAGTATTCTGCGCACTTTCTAAAACGCAGCTGTCAGCCTCATTCCCTGTCTCTGAGTTGGTTTAGGCCCCGGTTCTCACCTTGGGCTCCACTCAACTTATGTATCTCTGTTGATACATTTCTGAGCAGGGTGTTGCTACCAAAGACCTGTCGAGTCAGTTCTTTGAGCAGGTTTATTCAGAACCGGCGGTAGCCCCCCTGGATGGCAGGCCAGGGTCTGGTTTGGTTTTTAGACACCTGACCGTATCTCCTTAAAGGAATCTCTGTCTTCTAATTCCAAGCCTTGAGCTCTGCCCTAGGCTTGGGCTTCCTAGCCCAGCCCTTAACAGGCAAGTTCTTTAGGGTATGCAGCTCAGGCCCTTGGCCGAAGGGGATAATGTCACTGACAGCCGTCAGGCGTCCTTGGGGCAACTCCCATGGCTATGGTAGAGTTGGTACTTAGTGCTCACCGTGGTTTCTGGCATGCACTCCCCTCAGCATGACGGCGTGGGTATACCAGTCCCCATAGCGACCTCCTAGAGGATGCAGTTCGAAGTTCCCTCGGAAGGGAACGTCTCAGGATGTATGCTTCAGAAACTGGTCACGCTGAAGGCGATCCCCATAGCGACCTCTAGAGGACGCAGTGTCTCGTTCCCTTCTCAGGGAACCATGGTTACATACGTAACCTGAGACGTTTTTATCAGCTATTTTAACTTTTATTCTGATGGCACCCATTCACTGCAGAGGATCCATTGGTGTTGTTCTGATGACTAAAAAAAGGAAGTGGATGGCCTGAGGGTGAGTATTTAACAAACTGAAATTTTTAGGTGAACTATTCTGATTTGCAGAACATGAGTCCTAACATGTTTTCACGGTTAACAGCAAAGCTTTTTTATTTGGTGTAAACTTGCACTAAACTGGTGTTTTGACTTTGAATGTCAAAAGAATTTCAGTCTTTAAAATCGCTTTTTGAGACTCTGCTTTCCTTTTCCGTTCATCAGCGGAGCATTTTTAAATGTAGCATGTTTTACTTAAACATGCTCTAGACAGAAGTATTTGACCCTTCCAAGGTGTTTTGCACATGAACAACATATTTTTAATATGCTAACCAACACAATGACATATAAAGATGACATATATATGCACCATAATGTATGAGCATTAGAAGTTTAATATAAAGTATTAACAATAATAAAAACCTAAGCATGACATAGCTTTGGAAAAATATATTAAAGGTCCCATATTGTACACCTTTCTGGAGTTTTATTTGAGGTTTTGATGTCCTTAAGAATATACATTTGCGGTATAAGTACCAAAAACCATCTCAATATATTTTTACAGCTCCTCTCTCAGGAGCTCTGAGAACAGGTCGAGTTTGGTCTGTGTAATTAATATTCATGAGCCTCTCTTCTGATTGGCCTGTTGTTTTCTGAGTGACGCACGGCCAGGCCAACCACAGGTAACTAGGGTCAGCGACGACACTGCGCTAGCTGGAGGCAGCAAAACAAAGGGGAAACTGGAGGCGGCCCATTCAAACCAGTGCAGATTCGGCTACATAAGGAGCTTAAAATATCATCTTGTTGTGATGTTGGGTGCCAGAATCGACGTAATACAGCCTCAAATTAGAAATTTGATCGCATATCTGCTGCCACTGCCAGACAAAAAAAACGACGACAGCTGAGGTTAAACGCGATAAAACGAGCAGACTGGACAGAAAGGATCGTCAAAAATGCTCGCGTTTGCAGCACACTTCTTATCAGAAAAGGTTCAATAAAGTATTGTCTTTTGTTGTTATGGGTGCGTCTACAGATTTCTTGCATATGGAACCTTTATATAAATTACACACCTGCCTGTTGCCATGCACTATGAATTTGTGTGTCTTCGTGTGTACGTACCCACATCTTTCATTTAAAATCTTGAGCAAAGAGCAGGCGGAGGCTGCATGTGCTGACGTACAGCCAGTGGCTGTGAGAGAAAATCTGTTTGCTCTGAGCCTCTGAATCACACAGCATCTCTACAGAAGCATCTCCAACAAACAGAAGAGCAGCAGAGGATTTTTGAAACCAACATTTGTAGAACTGCAACATTTGTTAACTACACCTGCAGCTTTCAGATTCCTCTATTTCTATGTAATCCATTATCTGTATCATTTTTTTACTCTATAATTGTTTCTGCTTTGATTTTTTTTGTTTCCTCTTTAATTTCCATCCCTTATCTGCTATATGTTCTTCCCCATCTATTTATCTTTAAAAAATCCTGATGAACGACTCATATCTGCAGTTTCTTGAAGGGCAGAAACCTGCAAACAACACGTCTTTGCCTCCTAATGGCAGCACCATTGATCCTCTGGCAGGGGCGCTGTGCGAGCAGGTTCAGATCCAGGCAGAGGTTTTTCTCACCTTGGGTATTGTGAGTCTTCTGGAAAACATCCTCGTCATCTTGGCCGTGGTCAAAAACAGGAACCTTCACTCTCCGATGTATTTCTTCCTGTGCAGCCTGGCTGCCGCGGACATGTTGGTGAGTGTTTCGAACTCTTTGGAGACCGTTGTCATTGCCGTACTAAGCAGTCGCCTTTTGGTGGCCAATGACCATTTTGTGCGTTTGATGGACAATGTGTTTGATTCAATGATCTGTATTTCTCTCGTGGCATCAATCTGCAACCTCTTGGCGATTGCCATCGACCGCTACGTCACGATTTTCTACGCCTTACGCTACCACAGCATAGTGACCATACGCAGATCGCTGGTGGCCATCGCTGCGATCTGGTTGGTGTGTGTGGTTTGTGGGATCGTCTTCATAGTGTACTCAGAGAGCAAGTTCGTGATTGTTTGTCTGATCACAATGTTCTTTGCCATGCTAGTGCTCATGGCCACTCTCTACGTACACATGTTTCTTCTCGCCAGACTTCACGTAAAGAGAATCGCAGCATTACCCCCAGCGGCCACCAGCAACCCGACCCCACGTCAACGCAGCGGTATGAAGGGAGCCGTGACCATCTCCATCCTCCTCGGCGTGTTTGTGTGCTGCTGGGCACCATTTTTCCTCCACCTCATTCTGCTGGTTTCCTGTCCACACCATCCGCTCTGCCTCTGCTACATGTCTCACTTCACCATGTACCTGGTCCTCATTATGTGCAACTCTGTGATTGACCCACTCATCTACGCCTGCCGCAGTCTGGAAATGAGGAAGACCTTTAAGGAGATACTGTGCTGTTTTGGCTGTCAGCCTCCACTTCAGATGAATGTCTGATTTGAAAGGAGACTGATTGTACAAAGAAAAAGTTTACCTTGATGTACGATGCCAAAGCATGGTGATCATAATGAGGTTACATATCAAGAGATAAAGATACGGACAAAAGCAGACTCGTAGCATTCAGAGGAAAGGACTGGAAATTTGTTGAGCACTATCAAGGATTTGGAAAGCTCAGGTGCTGCAAGAAAATCAGAGAACTGGGGGTGGATCGAATGTGACCTATCGCTTGCTGAAAGGGCAGATCAGTTATGTGTTAGTCGTGTCTATTATGTGTATTCATTATGCAGTGGGGTCTGACAGTCTGAAACTAAACTGAAAATCTAGGATTTAAACTCATTAAAACCTTTCAGATCAATGCACAGTTTTAGGATTTAAGAAAATTTTATAAACGACGTGATTAACATTAATATTAAATACTTGAATTGCTGCATTATTTCTAAGTGTCAATTCAAATTAGTAAATTAGTGACATTGATCGTTTGACAGTTTTTCAAAAGCCGTTTTGGCAAATCGGTGGTGAATTTGTATGATCTTTTTTGTACATTTTCATATTATCTGCTTAGGGCCCACTGATGGTTAGGTTTATGGGGGGATCTTTATGCTTACAATTTTTTTCTAGAAATCATAAATTTTTGTACCAAGCAAATGGTAAAAAAAAATCAAGATTTGCCAAAACTTTTATCTCTGGATCATTTCAATTTATACTGGATCACATCATATCGAGTTCTATACAAACTTGAGGAGTTCATGCAAGCTCAAATGTTGATGTCATTAAAGCAAATTGACAAACCAAATAATAAAACCGATCGTTCGAAAATCATATAAATTTTTCATTTTCACTTTTCACTCAAATTATTAGACTTATAAAATAGATTGAAATGCAAAAATGCTATTAAGAAATGCAAAAAGGAAAAAAAAATTGAACTAGTGGTCTCACACTTCTAGACCTCACAGTACCTTATGTTCCAAATGTGTAGGCTATATATTTTGTTTTAGTTTAGTTTAGTGACTGTTCGAGCCATTTTGGTGTGTAAATGCATCTGCTCAAAGCTGCTGAAATGGAATCTTACTAACAGTCTGTGGTGAAACTTGCTTGCTGACATCAAAAACATCAGGGCACTTCCTAGTCTGACTTTTTGAGGTGTCACTCACTTTGTTGCTTCTCATAGTTGTCAGAATCAGATTCAGCTTGGACTGTCTCCAGTTAGCAACATTATGCAGTCAAACTCTGCCCAAAAGCTGCAGTCAGTATGAGTGGATCATTTAGCTGTCAAAGTCTCACATTTCTCTATATTGTTGCCTTTCAGTGGTGGAATGTAACTGGGGTCTCGCCATTTATTTTTTTGTCAGAGACTTAAGACAGCGGTATACATCAGATTTTTCAGATCAGATTCAAATCCTCTTCCTTCTCATTCTCAACACAAATGCTTTTAATGCAAAGTGCTGTTCTGTTATCATATTGACATTTAACTTGACCTGTAAGGTGAACAAAGATAAAAGAAATCCAAGACTCAGTCATTGCAAGCAATCTTTGTGTTTATCTACATAAGCTTTAAATGTCAATATTTGTTTATTATTCTCCCAGTGGAGTTACCTGCTTGTTGTTGAGTCTTATTACATGTCAGAAGAACTCTGTGTACTCTATTGTCCTGAATAAACAATTCTGCATTGCTCAAAAATGAACTATAACATGAGAAAAGTGGTCAAAGTCCTTCCATAATGATCCGTTAATTGTTACCTGTATGCAGCATACAGTAGAATTCATAAAACATTGGATCTTATGAAAAACTGTGCAATGAGCAGTTATAGGTTGGATTAAAATCTATGTCCTTCCCCTTGTGTATTTTAGAAAGAACTACACTATGAAATCATGTGAAATCTGTGAATAACACATACCAAAATGTATCCTGTTATGGATCCATTGAAGCATATGTATTTAAAATATAACAAATAAATAGAAAGAACTGGCTGCGAATGTTTATTTGGTAGATACTTTTATCAGTCAAACCCTTTGCTGAGCTCTACCAATCAAGCTACACTCTTAAAAATAAAGGTTCCAAAAGGGGCTTTTCACAGCGATGCCATAGAAGAACCAGTTTTGGTTCCCCAAAGAACCTTTCAGTGAACAGTTCTTAAAAGAACCATTTTTCTTAGTGTGAAGAACATTTTAATAATCTAAAGATCCTTTTTCTACTGTAGAGAACCTTTTGTGGAATGAAACGTTTCTATGGATGGTAAAGGTTCACCGTTGAACCATTGATGCCTATATTTTTAAGATTGTACAGAAACACTTAAAAGTAGAACGAGCCTCAAGTCACTTATCAATGAGGACAGTAGCTAATGACGTTAATGATCTTTCCTTCACACTTTCGGGACCTTAATTGTTGTAGTCCTGAAGCGAGAGCAGGCTGCATTCAGTGATTCAGATGATGTCTTGGAGTTTAGTATGTGTAATTGACATCCTTTATGCTGATGCAAACCACAAAGCAAATGTATGACTGAATAATGACACAAAATCCTGGACTTTTTTGTTCTGCATATCCTGTGCCTTTAACGCACAACAACACCACCTCCATTGCATTGCAGGGGGAAGGACATTGGGTACCTACACAAATCAGCTATGTTACTGAATATATGAGAGTTGGCAGAAATCCTATGGCAGTGATCTGAAAGATTCTCACTAGGAAAGAAATATATGCATATGAATGAGTCATTATTGTGTGCTTTGGGGCCCCCTGCAGCTTAATGAAAGAATCGCGTTAAGGAGAAATTCTCATCATGTGATTACTCACTTACAAAGTACCTGTGAGCACCAACAGCCCAGCGTCCACAATGTGTCACTCAAAGTGGTTTGGTTACCAACATTCAGAATTATTTTGTGCTCTGCAGAATATATATACAGTCATACATTTAGAGTTTAAAGGTGAGTAATTGTTGACAGTTTACATTTTTGGGTAAACTATAATTTGAATGTGAGTTCGTGCAGCGCTCAAGGTCAGTACTTGTCATTTCTCTCCCTCTTTCAGTTCTCTGCTTTCTGAAATGTTTTGAGATCCAAAATCTCTTTTTCACTCTGCAGAAGGAAGCAAACCGTCAAATTAAACTCTTTGTAGCTTTGTCTATTTGAGCTTTGTGGAACTAATTCATTTTTGATTTAAAGTGGTTTTGCACAGTTCTCAATTTGCTGGAACAGGATATTCAAAATGGAAAATAGTAGAAGAAAACAATTAGATTTGTGGGGGGGAATAAAGATACCGGAATGGAGCCAGCACGAATGTTGATTTGCTAAAAACAATACCTAAACAGTTTTATGTAGGTGGGTGACAATACATCCTCTTTTCCCCAGATATGTCTGGACGACATTTTTAAATTGAAATCGTTTGTCTCTTGTTTTTATACTTGCTGGAGGTATGACTAAAATGTAGTTTGACCAATAGCATGAAGGCATTAAATAATCGACCAGATATGGCCAGATTGTCCTACTGGACATGTGCACATCAATATTGCATCATTTTTGTCACAGTGAACAACAATGAATTACTGTAGGCTAGCTGCATTATTGTAAGGTTAGGTTTAGGGTTGGGGTAGGTGTAGACGTTAATAAAACACAATCTAATAGGTAGCGAATATACTTTATTGTTGTTTTCCGGACGTAGCTGTATCCCATGCACATATAATAATAGCTAGTGTATGAGAACTGTACGCCATATAGGAAAACAAAGCCAAAACCAGGACATTTTAGGCAATTTCTCAGATAGCACACCCACGTCTGCAAGATGTCTGTTAAAGATCGATTGATCTGGAAAGCATCTGCTGTGAACAAACATCTGACAGATGTCTGTAAGATGTCAGTTTTAGTTTTACATTCTAAATCATAAATATCTTAAAGACATCTAATAGACGTCTATTTGACATCTGATGCGTCTATAGGAAACGTCCTGTAGACCTATTGCAGATGAGCAAACACTTTAAAAATATATCCAGATGTAGGATGCGGACGTCAAATAGACATCTTCGTGATGTACAGGTGCATCTCAATAAATTAGAATGTCATGGAAAAGTTCATTTATTTCAGTAATTCAACTCAAATTGTGAAACTCGTGTATTAAATAAATTCAATACCTAGAATCCTGGCCAGGACATGTTCTGGAAAAAGAGGACATAGCCTATGGTCATTTTATGGCTAAAGGTTAAATTTATTTACTATTTATTTATTTACTTTATTTACTTAGGTGATGTCAAAAGAAAATGGACAGCTGTTTCATATGACGTTCTTTTAAATTGTGTAAAGAATACAAAGGCATTTTTTTTCTTTGGAGAAACATCCACCATGAATTGCTCACAATGAGACCAGCAATATACATCGAGTAAGTACATTTTGATTAATGTCCACAATCAGTCAACAGAAGAGGGAGCTACTGAGTCACTAATCGAGTGAATTGAAGACATAGCTTCGAATTTACTTCCATCATGGCCAACAACTTTATTATCCTTCCTGTAGCTGAAAATATTGTCCGTTAATAATTTAGATTTTGTTGAGCTACAAGGAACTGGTGCGAAATACATTAGAACACTAATATATGTAATAATACAGCTAATGTTGCAAATGCTTATTTAACCCGTGATATGTCTTTAAGCAGAGTGATCTGCAGATGACATTGGTCTTAGAGAAATGTTTTTGGCAGCTAAATCCTTGTTTCTAATAGATATGGCCTGGGGAAAGGCACTTAGCAAGTGGATTTAGGGGGATTGGTCCTTGGTTTTAATGCCCTCAGAACTGGCCTTCAGTGAGAGGGAAGATACTGGAACAGAAAGTGGTCATGCATGACTTTTTTTACTTTTCTGGAGCAATATAGATTTGAGGGTGGGGAGCTGGCTGCTGCTGATCCTCTCAGCACATCACATAAAGCATCTGCTTGTGTGAAATGATGTCAAGCTGGACCGGACAAACAAACTGATCCAATTATAAAGCTTTACCAGAGGTGTTTTGGGCACCACATATTTGTTTGCTGTTGCAGACAGGTAATACCCAGATGGTCATGCAATGTCCAAACCATCTCATACACTCAGAACTTAGCATTAAGTTCCCTATATGTCATTTTTCTTGTGGGGATGAGAGTGAGAAAACGTTTGAGAGTAAATGATGACAAATCTCTCTCTGTCCATCACATAAAGCTCTCATATGAGGCTTCAGACCAGAGTTATGGTGCTTTTGATTATTGGAGGTTGATAGATTTGGCCACCGTAAAAAGCTGTGTGGAGATTCTACATACACTCTTAAAAATAAAGGCATCTATGATTTCATGAAGAACCTTTAGCATCCATGGAAACTTTCCATTGCACAAAACGTTCTTTATAGCAGAAAAGTTTCTTTAGATTTTTAAAATGTTCCTCAAACTAGGAAAAAAAACAGTTCTTATGACTGTTCACTGAAAGGTTCTTTGGGGAACCTAAATGTTTTTTTGTTTTTCTATGGTATTGCTGTAAAACCCCGTTAAACTATTTTTACGATTTTATACATATGAGTTTCATGCCTTGAAAGTAAGAATGGTTACTTCCGTTTAATGGTTAATGAGCAAATTGTAAATAAATATAACAGATATGAAGCAAGGCCAGTTCCTCAATTAGAGAGTCTGAAATGTTTCATGATGGTTGTCTCATAAAACTGCCTTTTTGCATTAGGATACTATCACTAATCTTAGTTATAACCCATACACTACATGGTCAAAAGCACAGTATATCTGTGTATGTATTTTTTCTCATGGGGATGATGATCTCATATGAGTTTTTTCCGAACATTTGCACCCATGGAGCAAACCAATTTCCACACACAACACCCACACACAAAGAGAAACAAACACATTTATAAAAGCTTAAACTAGGTCATTAACCTTATTACTGGACAATTTAAAGCAGTAAAATGGATACAAATGCATATGTATTTAGATATTGTAGGAAGCAGTTTTATTGTTAAACTAAAACTATTACAATTTTCTTTGGTACATTTAAATAAATAAAGATATTAGTAATTATAAAATGACAAAAATCACATGACAAAATTACTCATTAAAATTACTCATTACTCATTTCATTAATAAAAATGAAAACTGAAAATATAAAAATAAAAGCCATTACGTTAAAAATGCTATAATAGTATATAATATTATAAATAATTCTAAAATAACACTGATAAGGATATCAGTTCCTCAGAGTATCAGTACGGTTTCATCATGACTGTTGCATTAAGTGTATTATTCACAGGTAAATTCAGATAAATTATTAAAATGATGATAATAAATTACTAAACCATGTGGCAGGTAAACAGTGGTTGGTCTTAAGTCCGTCTTCTTTTAAGTTTGCTGAGCTCCTTGAAAACCTGAGAACAGAAGCATGTAATTACCTTTATAGCTTAGAAATAGGTTTTCACAATAACAGCTAGGATTAGACTTCCAGAGTCCATTTTTCAATAACAGCTAGGATTAAACTTCCAGAGTTCATTTTTGCAATTAGTCCTCAGTGTTTTCTTTAAGAGCTTTGGTATTTAAACTAGTTACTTCCTTGTTGTGTTTAGCTACATCTACTGCTTTGCTGAACCTATACCTTTACTTGTAATAATTCAAATAAAATGCTCAGAAGATGAGATAAATTAGCTACATTTAGAAATACTTACCCATATGCAAATGGTACTGAGGACAAGTTTACTCACAGCCAGTCCTACACAACCCCAAAGGACAAAGAGCACTGAATCATCATTCACATGAGGCAATGGGATGCTAATGTTTGCCCATGATTCATTAATAAACTTGGTGGAGAAATCAAAGATGATGGGTGAAGCTGTTGACACACAATCTAGGGAGACAAATGGGGCTATATTATCTAACCAGAAATGATCTTCAACAAGTGAATCATGCACATAAATGATTAGAAGAACAATGCAAAGCCATATTGTTTGTCTGCATTTGAAACTGAGAGCAATATGTATCTAGACACTGGAAACTAAACCAAAATGTACAATACTCTGTATATCATTATGCCACATATTCATTTGTACAATTGTTTATTAATATATGAAATACCTGAGATATTAAGTCTAACCCGATTTTGACAGTTCATTCCTCCAGCTTTGGCTCTAATTAAACACTTGTAGATCCCAGAATTGGCAGGAGCAACTTTCCTTAAGACCAAAGATGCATTTTTATCCAGTGACACAGAATCGTTGCGCTTATCAGTTTGGATGACATTTTCTGACTTTATGAGGATTGTCATTGTTGTAGATCTGTCACTGCTGTTATTGTAGAACTTTAAAAAATAAAAAAAAGAACAGTGAGTTTATATAAGTGTGTGAATAGCTCTGCATTTGCAGCACTAAAAAGGTTATGAAAATTAATTGCACCTTAACTTTCTTTTCTTCAAATTTCATTTGATACTGTATAACCACATACTACCAAAAATTGCTTCTTTTTAATCACATTAACTACAAAAAAAAATTATTTGACATTGAATTACTCATTCAGCAGTCAGTTAGAATCAAATGTACATTCATTTTTAAATGCTAATTTTTGAAAATGAAAATCAGAAAAAAATCGGCACACCTGTAGGCTCCAAAAATCCACAAATTTAATAACAGGCTATCACAAACCGTGAATATGAATTATTGTAGGCTAAATTATTTCACAAAAAAATAAGATTATTATCATCATCGTTATTATTGCTACTATTACTATCATACATACATATACACACACACACACACACATATATATATATATATATATATATATATATATATATATATATATATATATATTAGGCCTACACATATATTTAATTTTTAGTAATACTAAATAACGTTGTATGTTATTCATTTAATTCACTCCAATACTGTCATGCGTGGATACGCGGAGACGTAGGATATTCCAATAAACAGAACTTTAATGAACAGAATACCAGGAAAGCACACATAGCACTGAGGTAAGACAATTCCGGACAAGGGAAACACAGGGTATAAGTACAGGGGAACTACTGGGACACACCTGGGAACAAATGAACTTAATGATATATATATATATATATATATATATATATTAGGCCTACACATATATTTAATTTTTAGTAATACTAAATAACGTTGTATGTTATTCATTTAATTCACTCCAATACTGTCATGCGTGGATACGCGGAGACGTAGGATATTCCAATAAACAGAACTTTAATGAACAGAATACCAGGAAAGCACACATAGCACTGAGGTAAGACAATTCCGGACAAGGGAAACACAGGGTATAAGTACAGGGGAACTACTGGGACACACCTGGGAACAAATGAACTTAATGACAGGAACGGGAAGGACTAAATAAGGGCAAAAGGAAACATAGGAAGCAAAACACGGAGCAGAGTCTGACAAATGCAAGTTATTACCCTAAGAAATTGAAATACACAATAATTATTTTATTTGGAAATGTTTGTCACTGTCACTGTCTGAATGTACAGATAAAACTGGCTCTGAATGAAGAATTAAGAGGAATGGGTGTAAAGGAAATGAATGCGTCTCAACATGTTTCCTGCTTAAAGCCACAGACATTAAATTCCACTGCGCTGCTTTTCCATTGTTTTGTTTTTTTATGTAAACGTGCGCCAGACACTCTCGTGCGCGTCTCGAACGGTTTTTTTTTTCTTTTCTTTGTTTTCTCGCGTTTTAAACGTAAAACGCATTCTGTGTTAATTTCCTGTATAAACCATAAACTTATAAGACACCTGAACATATCCACATCACCAAATGTTTGAGAAAGTAAGCATGCCGTAGGCTAAACATGACAAACAGAGTATGGTTTCTAGCAGTGGTCATATGAGATTTGACAGATGGACATATGGCTCACCTTGTACCACGTAACAGAGGTGTAGTTCTGACAGTTTTCATGGAAAGTACAGTGCAAAGCTACGTCCTCTCTGCAACTTGCGGTGACGAAGGTGAGTTCATCGCTGCCAACTACTATATTAAGGGTCAACGCTAAAAACAGACATCACAGGTATAAACACACTGCTGCGGAAAACAATAAACAGCACGCAGCGTCTGACGTACGCTTAGCTTGTTTGGTTACTGGGTAGACAACTACAGATAATGTAATAGGCTATACATCTGTCGTTACTGTAGTTTGCGTGAACAGGCTGATTTATACTGTTGCCGTTCTTGTTTTTTAAATTATAACAAATATCTAGGGGCCTTTTACACCCTTTATAATTAGGCCTAAGTTAACATTGAGTAAAAATAACGGATAAAATAAAGAAAGAGAAATCTGACTCACCCAACACAATCAAGCGAATCATTATCGCACTGGTGAAATGTGTGATGCTCATTTCCTCCCAAGTTTGCTGCTTTCCACAGTTCTTGTGAGGAAACTCCTCAGAAAACAAATATATGGGGGTTGAACAGTGCTCTTTAACACACGTTATTGTGATCAATTGTAACACATAAAGCTCATTGGGATAAAAAAAAAACGTGTAAATTGTTTTGACATTATATTAAATTAAGGGCTGAACATTTCCCCCTCACATATAAGTGAACAAAGAAGCATAGTATTTATAGTTCTGTGAAGCTGTTTCTTTGTAAAATGATTTTCGGTGAATTCGGATTTACAGAATGATGAAATGGTTCACTCATCTTTCTAAGTGACACTGTCCAAAAACGACACCAATCTGTAAAGAGAGAGGGAGAGATACAAGAGAAAACGCACACTATGATTGGCCTGTCATTGCAATTATGCCCGCCTATTATGTTTTCATCATCACTGATTGGCTGATTACCCTGTCAATGCAATAGTACTCGCCTGGTTAAACTATAGTGGAAATAAAATGGACCAACTGCGAAAGCTGTATCCGAAATTCACTCATTCACTAATCCCTATATGGGGTTCTTACACCTTTTCCAAATTCAAATTCAAGCACTTTTCAAGCACTTTCAAGGTGCATTTTCCAGCACTTTAAACTGTGGTAAATTACAGGTTTACACAGGGCCTACTTGAGTTCTTCACTTTAAATAGGATGTTATTGTGCTATTAAAAATCACCTGTCTGGATTGCATATAACACTGTAATGTGTAAATAGCCAACATACAGTGTATAGTTGTTGTTTTTTTACAATTAAAAAAATTATAATAAATAAAGAATTTACAGGGTATCTGCAGGATTTTAAAAATAGCATTTAAGGCTTTTTAAGACCTGCACAAATAAAATAAATACTGTATGAGCGGGGTAGGGCAATTTCTATGGTAGCCTAACATATTAAACCAAAAAATTACCACAAAAACACATGATTTGCAAAATAGATTTTCAAATACAGATTTTCACAAATAAAGTTTTATAAAGTGACAAACCTCACATTTCAGACTTTAAACAATTTTTTAAATAAAGAAAAGGGATTAGTCAAAAGTATAAATAATTGTTTTAATTTAAAGCAAACACCTTACTGTCTTAATTTTTTAAGGCACATTAGCTTTTTGTTCTGAATAAAAACAGCAGAGGGGCTTATTAAAAATGCATATTCATCTTCTGCCACTAGGTGGCGCTTTTAGAAGGCAGAAATACAGCTTCCCCAGTAAGGGCTGTACACAAAGCCGCGCCGCTCTCATAAACGCTACTTTATCAGACATTATATGTTGGTCAGATGAAATGAAAATGCCACTGAAACTTTTCTGAAGGCAGTCGGTTCACTTCAGAGATGCTTTAATCTAAAAACACCCATGCTGCATTTTTTACTTTGAATGTTTATTTTATTATTTTACTTTAATCACGACAGTCTTAAAAGTTTTAGTTTAACTGAGCAGGATTGCTTACCTATTACACGGCTTCAAAACAGGCTTTCAAGACAACACTGACTGAAGCGGCAACCTCCTGGCATGTTTTTATCTCCCACCCTGTTCTATCAGAAGGCGCACATCAATAAAAACGCATTAACATAAATGTTAACATAAATTTTTAGATAAAAAATAACATTTTATCTAAAAAGTGAACTATTCAGTAATAAAGCAAATTATTATAAAATCAATGCCATTGCAATTTCATGCGGTTTCAAGCACTTTATCCAAAATCCAAGCACTTTTCAAACCTTGAAAACACTACGTTAAATTCACGCATTTTCATGGATTTCAAGCACCATACAAACCCTGTATACTATATGCCTACACTGTAAAAAAAATTGCTGTAAAAAAACGGCCATATTCTGACAGTAACATCCAGTTTTTTCATTACAACAGTACAATGCCGTAAAAAAAAACAATGTATTCTGGGTAATATTTGTTGTTTTCGAGAAAGTAGCCTTCTGCAGTACTGTGAAGTAACAGCGTTCAGAGTCGACACTCAGAGGCTGTTTCAAATGACACCCTACACCCTCATTCACTATTCCCTACATGAGTTTACTAATATAGTCCACCTGACAGAGAGAATGACAACTAATGAGTGAATTCAGCCAATGATGAGCAGTTGCTGTTAACAAGCAGAATCGCTGAAGAAAAGAGCAAGAAATGAAACTACAACTGACATACAGCCACAGCCTTAGATGAAATCAACTGAAATAAAACAGCAGAACATGATCAAACAACTCCACAAACAGCATTACAGTTTGACTTTATTTCTGTCATATATCTACAAAAATTCTTTGAGAATTAACAGAGGTTTAGATGTTTTATTGAAAACATTTAGTTTGACCTTACCATCGTGGCGATCAGGGTTTGCTTTAATTGGGCTCTTGACCCTTCACTTTTTAATGTTTGGTTGTTGTAACTGTTTGTAAAGCACATTTGTTATAGCAAGAAAATCATAGAAAAATTATGATTAAATGGTTCTGGTTAGTTATTGATGATGGTGTAATCATCATTTTGTGGCCTGATTCACTGATCTTATTCAGTGGCTGATCTTCAAAAATATAGTGTGGGTTTTCACTTGTTTCATGTTATTTACAATAGCTATATGACACTGCAAGTTGAGATGATTTTATGCAATTATGATGAATTTTGAAAACTTCTTATGTTCAAAGCCTTTAAAACTACGGCATGATATTACGCAGTGCCTGAAAATAGTCCCCAGCTAGGTAATTTCCAACGGAAGGCACGGTTCCTGTGCAAGCAGGTGGTCACGTTGGTTATGTTGGCGGAAGTTAGCCTATTTTCAGGCATTGCGTAATATCATTGCGCCTGCTGCACCCATGGTATGGCAGCAAAGTTCCTTGATTATTATGCCGGAGTATAGTTCCTAGCCACATCGGCCCAGAAAATCGCAACTTTTCATTTTCCGTCGGTCTTAGTACACAATGTAATTACAGAAGAGTCAGGTTTTAAATAGGAAAAATATTGAAACTCTTTGGTCATTTTTGAGTGAGATGCTAACGGTCTAATCAGATTCAATGATCTATGCTAAGCTGCAGCTAAAAGTGCTACCGCCAGACCCGGAAATCGGCTGAATGGATTTGAAAACGGTAAAACTAAAGTGTTCCTTTAAAGCATGTTTGCAACGTGTGTGAGCGTATGGGCATATGATCTATATAAATACATTTTAAATTATTTGTCTATATCTTATATATTCATAATAATAACTGGGGATGTCAATTTAACATGTTAATTTAATTAATTAGTTATGAAAAATTAGCGTGATTAAAATATTTTAACGCCGTTAACGCACCCACCCCACCCAAGACCTATATACCTCATTTCAACCAGTTGACTGCTGAGTTGACAAACATGATGCAGGGCAGCAGCTCACTGCATGATGTAGTCCATAAAATGCAGCTACAGTATATGCCCCTTAAATTCAATATATTGGGGCAAAAATGCCCCTGTATGAGTTGTCTCAGGTTTATGTCGTATGATAAGTGATGTCACATGAGCAGCAAGTGCAATATCACAGGAGTGCTGTTTTTGTCCCAAATAGCACGAGTGCAAATATAATTCTATACAACAGTCCAGTAAATAAGAAGTTACGTTTATGTTATATTTTAAACACAATATGTGACCCTGGACCACAAAACCAGTCATAAGGGTTAATTTTTCAAAATTGAGATTTATTCATAATCTAAAAGCTGAATAAATAAGCTTTCCATTGATGTATGGTTTGTTAGGATATGACAATATTTGGACGAGATACAACTATTTGAAAATCTGGAATCTGAGAGTGCAAAAAAAATCAAAGTAATGTTGTAAAAATTAAGTCTTTAGCAATGCATATTACTAATCAAAAATTACATGAACATGATCTTTATTTAATATCCTAATGATTTTTGGCATAAAAGAAAAATCAATTATTTTGATATACCTGTGTGACTTATGACTGGGTTTGTGGTCCAAGGTCACATATTTTCTGTTTTTGCTCAATTTTGGAAACAAAAATATTACTGTACCTATAAAGCCACATGCAGCAGAACTTTGAGCCATTTGAACAAATCGAATGAGCAAAAAATACTTTTTTCTCAGATCATCTTGTATTATAGTTTATGTTAGGCTGTTGTAGCCTAAACGTGTATTTTCTTTTTCTTTTTTTGAATCAAATAAAATATTTATTTGTAATGTCTACTTGATACTTTTCTCATTTAACACAATAGCTATAAATTATCTTTTAAGGGTATTTTCACAGTCAAATTTATAAAAAATAATTAATTAATCACCACATTATGTAATTAATTAGATTTAAAATTTTCATCGACTGGCAGCCCTAGTAATAAACCTTAAGATTCATAAAGTACATAAATGTGATACAGACAGTAAAAAAATATTTATAGAGGATATACAATTATAACATATGGGGGGGGGGGGGGGGGGGGGGAAAAAAAAAAAAAAAAAAA